CGGTTGGGCTTCGACGGTCGCGATTCTCACATGAAAAGGCAACCCAAGGTTTCGTCATCCTCCTCGAGGTCGATCGATTCCATTACAATGGTGGTGGAGTGGTCTTCCGACGAGGATTGTAAGAATGCTTCCAAAAATTGAAAAAAGAAAAAGAAAAAAAAAGTAACAGCAGATCTGTTCATCCCTCGGAAAGGAAATGAGAGGGACCGGAAAAGGCACTGTCCGTCCTCTTTTTGGCGGCGGCGTCTCGACAGCCTTCGTCCTCTCATTTGCCCTCGCCTCCGCCGTTATCGGATTCCTAATTCGAGAAAGAAGAGAAGGGGCCGAGGTCTTCCTCGTCGTTGTTGAGATGTGACGCCGCCTTTGCCACCTTCACCGTTGCGCCGATACTACTGATCGATTCTAGAAAAGAAGAGAAAAGGTGATGGGGATTAGAGAACGATAGTTTGTGACAGACGATGTGTCTCCGGCGTTGATTTTGTTTTTCTTAATTTTGTTTTTTTCTTAAAAAAATTATTCTACTTAATATTACTATCTTGGCTGCTAAATTACTGTCTCGAGCAGTTAATTAACTGTCGGAGACAGTAATTTAACTGTTAATTGACCTTTTTTGTTTCTTAAAAAAAATATTTTAATTAATATTCTTGTATTGGCTGCTAAATTACTGTCTTTAGCAGTTATTTAACGGCCGGAGACAGTAATTTAACTGATAATTGACTTTTTTTTCTTAACAAAATTATTTTAATTAATACTACTGTCTTGGCTGCTAAATTACTGTTTCCTGCAGTTATTTAACTGTCGGATACACTAATTAACTGTTAATTGACTTCTTCTTTTTTTGAAATTTTATTTTTTCTTAAAAAAATTATTTAACTATCTGAGACAGTAATATTACTATATTAGTTAATTTTATCGTCTTGGCCTGCATTTTTGCTGTCTTCAACTGTAATATTAATGTCTCCGACCGTAATATTACTGTCTAATGCAATAATATTACTGTTTGGGACAATAATATTAGTAATATTATTGTTTGGGAAAATAATATTCATAATATTACTGTCCCAAATAGCAATATTACTGTATGAGAAAGTAATTTAGCAGCCAAGACAATAATATTAATTAAAATATTTTTTCAATTTTTTTTCAAAATGGGGGTTAATGTGATATATTTGTTTAAATCCGGGGTCAATGTGTAATATTAAAGAAGTTAGAGTATAATGAATGGAATTGATAAAAAATATATTATGGAGGTATTTTAGACTAAAGACATGGGGATGAGTTATTTGAAAGACTGTTTTTCTTTTTGTGGACCAATGTGTATTTAAGTCCCTTGTCATGTCCCTTTTTTGCCATTTGCCCAAAAAAAAACGAGGCCTTAGTCCTTAGATTTTAACTTTTAATGTCTTGGGGGTTGAGAATTGAGCCCACAAATGAATTTTGGATATGACTGGTCTTATATAATTGTGGCAGCCCAACTCAACGAATTGAGCTCAAACAACTTAAGCCCATTGTCTAAGTCTAACCTGATTTTGACTGTCCATCTTAAGTGATTGATGCTGGTCCTTCATACTGTTCTTGCTCACTCTTCCTCTCAACTCTAGAACCCATTCTCAGCCGTGTCGTTTCTCTCACTTCTTATCCCCACTCTTTACAGTACTTCGTCACCATTGTCGTTTTTCATCGACTCCATCGCAGGCATTGCCGAACAATGGATGTCCTCGCCTCGAAGTAGCAGAGTTAATGATGCGGACCGTTGAATCTTAATATATGTATGTGTATATATATATTGTGGAGAGAGAGAGAGAGAGAGAGAGAGAGAGAGAGAGAGAGAGAGAGAGAGATGAAGTAGACTTTACGTTTAATTCAAACCAAGTGTTTTCACCGTTAATCCTCTTCTGTGAGTGATTGAGATCTCTTAGTGAGGAAAACTAGGGTTTGTGTTCATTAGAGAGGGTGACTTGTGTCTGAGTTGACTGTGCATGCATGCGTTGATGAGTTAACTCAATGTGAGTTCTAGGTAAATCTAGGGTTTCAAGTGTGTGGCAGTTGCTTGGTGCTTGTTTCCATTTTGGAATTGCCACCAAACCTTAAATCTAATGGACTGAACACTGGAAAAGAGAATTGAACCGATGTTTATACATGCAGCTTTAAATTGAGTTATCCTTGCTTTCTATCTCTTTCCATCTTTCTATTATAACGGATTTATTTCTGGAACTATTGGAACTTGTACCTAACAGTCGTATCAGAGCATCAATGGGGCACTTGTTCTTAACATACTCGTGCTGTGAAAATCGGTTACGTTCTCACTCGCTCTTGTTTGAGAAAACTTTCGCTAATATATATATATATATATATATATATATATATATATATATATATATATATATATATATATATATATATAACTGAGGCTACTTACTACACCAAACCCCCATTACCCGAACCGTTTAGTGTCTCAAGAATCTGGGGGAGGGAGGTAGCCTGAGACGGCCTTGTCGTCCGAAACGGTTAACTTTACTTTATGCGCCCTATTTGACTTGTGTGACCTTCAGTGACCATTTTTTGTGATTTGCGTTAGTCATGTGGGTGTTAATTCTCTTTGTGTTGTTGTTTGTGTGCAACTTGTGTGCTTTATTTCTATTGTAATCGGCGTGCAACTTGTTTTTTTTTTATTTTCTGTTGTTGTTTGTATGCGCAGCTTGTGTGCTACTATCTTATCTTGAGTGATCTTGTCTGTTTTGTGAAATGAATCCCTATCCTATGGCATCATTTGATGGGAAGGGTGATTTTGCTATTTGGAAACAAAAAATAAAAAGTGTCTTAGTTCTATATATTTGTTTTAAAGCTATAACTCAATCTTATGATGATAAAACCACAAAGGATGCGATGATCTTAATGAACTTGCTTATTCCCTAATTATTTAAACTTATCTGATTTTGTGATTATGAAGATAGGTAAGCGTGATACTACTAAGGAATTATGGGATAAGTTAGAAGAGCTTTATATTGAAACCTCCTTACCCACCAAAATGTTTTTGCTGGAATTTTTTTTAGATTTAAACTTGATTTTCACAAAGATCATGATGAAAATCTTGATGTTTTTTAAAAACTGGTGCAAAATATTAAATTGACTGGGGAAAAAATTAATTAATTAGTACACCGCCATTGTTTTTTTTAAATTACAGTTTATGTCCCTAAACTTTACCACTAAAATGATTTATGTCCTCAAACATTTCAATCCGCGAAATATGTCCTCAAACTTGCCACTTTTGATCACTTAATGTTATGCCATTAACGTCGGCAGCTAACTTCGACGAAAATTGCACGCGTGGCTCACGTGACGTCTATGTGGCCGTTAAATGTGACGTGGAATAATATATTGAATATTAAATATTGACGTGGCACAAGAATATACTAATTTCCTCTAACTCATTCTCCCAAATCCCAAATCCCAAATCACGTTTCATACCCATAAACCCTAATTTTCCCACACTTCACAATTTCAATCACCTCAACTCATTCCCAAATTTTCAATCCAATCTGCATTCTTGCTCTAACCCATACTAAAATCGATGTCATAAACCCATAAAAAATCCAAACATTTTCACATTTGAAGAGTTTTTTCCTTCTCAGAAGCTACGCTGCTTTGGGTGATTTCTGGAGAAGAAAATGTCAAGAAGGAGTGAATCCTGCCTTCAGTGGACTCCAAACTAAAGTAAATATCCTGAACTTTGTAGCTATGTTGTTAAATTATGTGAAAATGTGATTTTTGTTTTGTCTAATTGTTGTTTCTTTTTTTGTTTTTTTTTTTTTTTTTTTTTTTTTGCTTCCTCAAACACCGTAGTTGAAATGGGTGAACCTACATGTTTTAGCATAAAATTTTTTTATGGTGGAATTATGAGGCATGAACCAACTAGAACATATATTGGAGGGCAGGTAGAATGCTTTGATTTTTTTGATATCGACCAATTTGGTATATTAGATATGTGGGATTTTGCAAATGCTTTAGGGTACACTGAGAAGGGAAGTTTCAAATTTTGGCTAAAACATGAGAATTGTTTTAGGCCAATTGAAACTGATGTTGATGTTCTTAGCATAGCTGACTGTATTCCTTCAAACTTTGAAGTTAAGATGTTCATTGAAAAGGTTAATAACTCAGAGGGGGGTACTGAATCTGTCATAAATGATGAAATTGGGAAAGATGAAACTTGGTAGAGTTAAGTGATGAGGGTGATA